TCCATTTTGCCACACTCCATTTTAAATGACCCCTGGCCCAGTGCAAACGTCTGAGCTTGTGGAGCTTGCTTAGAAATGGCTTCCTCTTTGCACTGTAGAGTTTCATCTGACAACGGCGGATGGAACGGTGGATTGTGTTCACTGACAATGCTTTCTGGAAGTATTCCTGAGCCCATTCTGTTATTTCCTTGACAGTGGCATTCCTGTTTGAGGTGCAGTGATGTTTAAGGGCCCGGAGATCACGAGCATCCAGTAGAGTTTTACGGCCTTGACCCTTACGCACAGCGATTGTTCCAGATTCTCTGAATCTTTTGATTATGTTATGCACGGTTGATGATGATAACTTAAAAGTCTTTGCTATTTTACGCTGGGTAACACCATTCTGGTATTGCTGCACTATCTTTCTGCGCAACAATGGTAGAATTGGTGATCCTCTTACCATCTTGGCTTCTGAGAGACACTGACACTCTGAGAAGCTCTTTTTATACCCAATCATGTTCTCAATTGACCTAATTAGTGTTAATTGGTCTTCCAGTTGTTCGTTACATGCTCAATTTCCTTTTTCCAGCCACTTATTGCTACTTGTCCCAATTTTTTTGGGATTTGTTGACACTGAAATTTTGAATCAACATATTTTTCTTTTAAAATGTTACATTTACTCAGATTAAACTTTTGATCCGTAATCTATGTTATATTACGAATAAAATATTTACATTTGCCATCTCCACATCATTGCATTCAGTTTTTATTCACAATTTGTTTAGTGTCCCAACTTTTTTAGAATCTGGTTTGTACATCATCACATATATGTCCATAAAGAGCTGTGTAAAGTTGTACGAAGTAAAGTTGTACATAAAGTTGTCCCTGAGCCTGTCCATGCCAGTTGAATGAGACATCCTTGTCCACATGATGCCCTGATATATTAAATTTCCCCACACCACGGCTGAAACTGCTGATGTGCAGCAACTCGTTTCCTTCATATTAACTCTTTCACAAATGGACCTCTAAGTTCTGTCAAGCTCCTGAGTGTCTGTATGTTTACAGTAATTATATTTTTAAACGTGTAAAGTTGGAAATGCCTCAGTCTCAGAAGTGCGCCGCTGGCTGATCTGTACCCCACCCCCGGTAACTTCATAGACACATAAATACTCCTCTTTGTGTGACAAACATGTTTTTACGCCCCACTAGTTCTTTACAATTGTCTGACTCGCATTCAAATAAATTCCTTGTTTTCCTGCACCTTGGCATAATTTCTGATCATGCAGAGACATGACACGTTTAAACAAGGAACAATTCATCAGAAATATTTATTAATCAAATACACATTGTTCTTATTTTACTCAAACAGTTGCCTGCTGTCAGACAGAAGGATCCCATATAGCTGACAGCTCAGCTGTCTGTGGACAGTCTTAATGAAGCAGCTACTTCAGATTCAAGCTTCATATTTGTTAAAAAGTTTGGAGAAATGAAGCTTTGATGCTTCAGAAAGCTTCATTTGACCAGCAGTTCAAGATGGACCCGTCCTCTCTGAACTGGGGTTTGCTCTGTTGAGATGGTAGATCTGATGTGGAATCAGGTGCTTCTCCTCTTCCTGTTCTTCACCTGTAAGACCATCAGGTGCAACATCTCGATAATGTTGAGAAGCACTGAGAAGACGGCGACTACCAGCATGAAAACGATGAAGACTGATTTTTCGGTGGGACGACTGATATAGCAGTTTACTAGTCCTTTACACGGCTTCTGCTTTTCAGAACATGTGAGATTTTTTGGCATAAGAATAAAATCGTAGAGATAGTACTGACCTACGATGAACGAGACTTCAAACAAGGTCTTGAAGACCAACTGTAGCATATAGCTGACCAACAAGATGCCCTTGAGCTCCACTCTGCCTCTTTCATCTGAATACTTTGGAACTTTATTGAACTTGGTGTCAGTTTTCTGCTGGGGGCGTTTTCTCATCTTGTTTTCTTGGCGCATGACCAGCAGTACGTGTCCCAGGTACATGAGCGTCGGTGTGGACACGGTAAGTATCTGGAGGACCCAGAAACGTGTGTGGGACAGAGGAAATGAATGGTCGTAGCAGGCGTTCAGACAACCCGGGGTGATGGTGTTGCATTTCAAGTTTGCCTGTTCATCTCCCCATATATGATCCACACCAGCAGCCAGGATAAAAATCCTGAAGAGGAACAAAACACTCATCCACACTTTCCCAAACACGGTAGAGTGGGACTGCACCTTGTCCAGCAACGCAGAGAGAAAGGACCACTCCCCCATGATGACACCCTATAGAAGAGAAGACAGAATCCTTAGACACTTCAGATGAACTCTGACTAAGGCTAACCTCATGGCAAGGGGTCCTGGGTTGGGTTTACATCTAGGTTAATGGTCATGGGACACATTCTCTAATAATAGAGGAAATCAAGGTGATGGGTTTGAACAACTTGCACATTAGACAAAGTACAGTGTGATGTTTGACACTCACGCTAACTCAGAATGAAACAAATCTCAGATTTTCTTCTGAGTGCCAAATATTTGTGGAGAACCAGATACGACCCTTTTTTTAAACGTAGGTATTTAAGGTCTTGCCATTTAACATGATTTAATTTGGTTTACCATTTGTCATTATAATTTAAAGTGAATGAGGTTGTTTGGGCTGAGATGTGTTCTTATAGTTCTATGGATGATTTTACTTCTTGTTGCTAGAGGGCGCTGCTGTGACAGCACAGGATGAAAGACTGTTGGTAAAGATCCGAGTGTATGAGACAACTTTGTGTTCTGTCATGGTGTCTGGCATAATGGCACACTTGGTGTAAAACATTTGTGAGTTTATCTGTAGTCTCTTACACTGCCTGGCCAAAAAAAAGTCGCCACCTGGATTTAACTAAACAAATAGGTACGAGCCTCCTGTTGGATAATTACTGCATGAGTGATTATCTTTCAGCTGCCATCAAGTTATTTAACCCCAACTGGTGCAATGAGTTGCTTCTCATTTCTTAAACAATCATGTGGAAAGACACATCGCGTGGTCGTGGAAAAGATGTCTGTCTGTTTGAGAAGGGTCAAATCATTGGCATCAAACAGAGAAAACATCTAAGGAGATTCTAGAAACTACTAAAATTGGGATAAGAACTGTTCAACACATTATTAAAAACTGGAAAGATAGTGGGGACCCATTGTCTTCGAGGAAGAAATGTGTCCGGAAATAAATCCTGAATGATCGTGATCGACGATCACTTAAACGTTTGGTGAAATCAAATGGAAGAAAAACAACAGTAGCACTCAGGGCTATGTTTAATAGTGAAAGTAAGAACATTTCCAAACACACAATGTGAAGGGAGCTCAAGGGATTGGGACTGAACAGCTGTGTAGCCTTAAGAAAACCACTAATCAGTGAGGCTAACTGGAAAAAAAGCTTCAATTTGCTAGGGAGCATAAAGATTGGACTCTGGAGCAATGGAAGAAGGTCATATGGTCTGATGAGTCCAGATTTACCCTGTTCCAGAGTGATGGGTGCATCAGGGTAAGAAGAGAGGCAGGTGAAGTGATGCACCTATCATGCCTAGTGTCTAGTCATCAATGCAAGATCTTGGTGAAAAATTAATGCAACACTGGATGGAAATAGATCTTGTGACATTGCAGAAGCTTATCGAAACAATGACACAGTGAATGCATGATGTAATCAAAGCTAAAGGCGGTCCAACGAAATATTAGTGTGTTTTTTGGTGGCGACTTTCTTTTTGGCCAGGCAGTGTGTTTCACTACGCCACAACAAGACTGATACCAGTTTAGTTTTTTTTTCATTATTTCAACTCAAGACTTTTATCCATCCATTAACTTTACCTGCTTCTTCCTTTTCGGGTGACTGGTGCCCATGTCCAGCAGTCGCTGTGCAAGAGGTGGGGGACACCCTGGGCAGGTCTCCAGTCCATTACAGGGACACAGAGACAAACGAGACAAACAACCATTCACTCTCTCACTCACACATAGAGACAATTTAGAATTACCAATCAGTCTAACGTGCATGTTTTTGGTCTGTAGTACAAAACTGGAGTACCCAGAAAAAACCCACACATGCACAGAGAGAACATGCAAACTTCACCCAGAAGGTCCCTGGCCAGTATTTGAACCAGCAAAGAAGAAACAGCTCTATCAACTGAGCAACTGTACCGCCCTCAAAGACTTTCAGATGAATAAAATTAAAAAGTTTTTTTTTTTTTTTTGTAAAATTGAGAAGTAAACAAAGATTTTCTTAGTGGAACACATATAATCCTTAATGCCAATTAAAGCTAAATAAATAAAAAAGAAATAAGATGGGAGAGTGTAACAAAGTGGAGAATCAGTGCAATCTGCTGGGTCACCATGAACTCGCTAAAGAGTCTTTGTAGCCAGATTTGTTCAAGTTCAGATCAACTTTACTGTCATTCACACCACATGTGGTACATGAAGTGGAATGAAATAATGTACACAGGATCCCAGTTACACCCAAAATGGTAAAATATAAAGTATACAAAGAAACAGGATATAATGATGTAAGATATATGCTAAACACTAATAATATAAAATACCATGTATTAAACAGCAGCCTGAACATGAGTCTGTGGTGAGCAGATGGGCTTGAATGAATACAGCAGCATGAGATCAGCAGCATGGATAATCAGCAGCACAGATTAGTCGCATATCAATTAAAGTGACATTACAGTGACTTTTCCTTTTATTTCTGTTCACGGACTTCACGCCCCACCACTACACACTGTCAGCACTCCTGGCAGCAGATAATGATCTACCACTGCTTTTGTAATTGGCTGAATAAACACTTGACAACACTACTTTAAAACATCCATTTGTTGTTTCAGTGGTGCAGTTGGTAGAGCTGTTGCCTCTGAATGAGAAAGTTGCTGGTTCAAATTCCAGCATGGGACTTTTCTGAATGGAGCTTGCAAGTTCTTTCCGTGCATACATGTGTTTTCTCCGGGTACTCCAGTTTCCTCCCACAGACCAAAAACATGCATGTTAGTCTGATTGGTGACTCTAAATTGTCCCTAGGTGTGAGTGAATGGTTGTTTGATGGACTGGAGACCTGTCCAGGTGTCCCTCGCCTCTCACACAGTGACTGCTGGATATGGGCACCAGTGACCCCGGTGACTCAAAAAGGAAGAAGGTAAAAGATGATGGATGGATGGATGTAATGAAAGGGAAGATGAAGGTTGAATTCTAAAACTTTGTTAGTATTATTCCTGATGTCATTACAGTACAGTGTCGTCTCGTACCTTCTGTCTCTGACTCTCCTGGCTTTATCAATATAGCGCCCCCTGGAAACAAGCAGCAACAGAACTGCATTTACTGTGTAAACCTATGAGCACAACATGTCTGCTGATTTGTCTTTTATCACCACATTCTGTAAACAGCACTACAAACAACGACATACAAATTAATTTAAAGTCTTGTACATAACTGATTTTCAACAATGCAATTATTACTGTTAAACAGCATCTAAAAATCACATAAAAGTTTGCATTATGTATTTTTTTATGTTCTCTAATGATGGTATTAGCTCCTAGATTTTTTTAAACATAAAATTTAATTCTAATGACCTCATTTAGCTGAACTTTTAATGTTTATAAATCAAGCCTTATATTTTAATCGTGTTTCCTACCTTGATGTTGTGATGTTCAGTCAGTTTGTGACAAGAGTCCTCTCATTTCCTTCCTATTATTCAAGTTGGCTGCAGAATCATCAGATTTCTTCCTAATCTGACCCTCCCAAACAACGTGACTGCTCTCACTCACTGATGTTGAAATTGATCAAACCAGAAATGAGAGTCATTTGAACAGCTGGTTATTTATCTGTATGGAAACAATGAAGTAATCAGTATGCAATGCAAACATCCTGTGATCTCTTTTTTTATTTTAATGGTTTTAACTGGAAGTTGGAATAAACAGGAGAGGAGACTCACCAAATAAAGCCCTGCTTCCCATTTTACTTTTAAAACTCTAGGATTTGTAAGTAAACCTGCAGTCTCCGAGCAATGTACTTTGTTAAGGAAATATGGAGTAACAAGAAAAATAGATAATAAAAAACAAGGACAACAATTCTTTAAACAAAAATCTAAGAAAGTTTGGGGGAAGAATCAGCTTTGTTGTGTGTTTCCTTGACTGATGAAGCCTTACGGATCGAAGGCCAAACGTTTCAGCACAAAAAAAGAAACTGTCCAGATGACCTAACTGAAAAATGTTGGATCTTAGAAAGTTTACTAACAACAACCTGGGATGTCATTGCTGGTGTTATAGAACCATTCAATAAGGACAGAAAGCAGATCCTAAACAGGGATAGTTATCTCAGGAAATACCTCTTTAGGACTGGTTAGGACAGGATCTAGAAGACATGTTGATGGTTTGGATTAAGCTATTTTTGAACAATTCAGAGCTCAACAGAACAAAACATCCAATCCATCCATCGTCTTTACCCGCGTCTTTCTTTTTGGGTTGCAGGGGTCATTGGTGCCCATGTCCAGCAATCACTGTGCGAGAAGCGGGGGACACCCTGAACAGGTCTCCAGTCCATCACAGGATCACAGAGAAAAACAAGACAAACAACCATTCATACTCACTCTCACCTAGGAACAATTTAGAGTTACCAATCAGACGTGCATGGTTTTGGTCTGTGAGAGGAAACTGTAGTACCCAGGGAAAACCCACACATGCACAGAGAGAACATGCAAACTCCATCCAGAAAGCGCCCCCTGCTGAAATTTGAACTGGGGCGACCTGCTTGTGTAGAGGCGGCAGCTCTACCAACTGCGCCACAGTGTTGCCCAGGACAAAACAGTCCAAACATAAATTAGGTTCTAGTGACATTTCTAAAGCTGCCTCATCTGACAGGGAATCAGAGGCAATAGTAGGAAGGATGATGTGAATTTTCTCTATTTAAAATAACTTTATTTATAAAGAATCTCCCCAAGTCGTCACTACTTATAGCTATAAGGATACATGGCTAAACAGAGTTGGGACTTTTAATTAGTCTAGCTATTGCACTTTAATAAATTTGTGGGTCACACAGGCAGAAGATCTTGCCTAGAATGTCACATAATTACCACACATACCAGGACATAAAAAAAATAAAGCCTTTTTATTGAGTACTCCTTTAAAACAAAGCCTTCTACCTGATTCTCACCCTGAGCTAACAGAGGCCTACAATAAAGATGAAATGAGATCACTTAGCTCGCCCAGCCAGTGAGACCCCTCCCCAGGGTCTAAACTTGTGATGTCGTCCAAGAT